GTACTCTGGGCTGGCAATATAGACTGTCTCCCTTTAATAAATGTTGCTACTTCGCCTATGCTTGAAGCTGATGCAATGAAATCTACAGCACAGTATACTGATGTCAGCATAGTTTCTTGAGTTTCAAGTCCTGGCACCCTGTGGACTGCTGTTGAAAGACTGTAGCTCTGTAATTCAAATACACAATCTTGATGTTATCACAGCGGATACCACAGCAACTATGGTCCATCTGGCCACAATCCAGTTTAGGCAATGTTATTTTCTCCCTGAAATTCTTCTGCAAGATCTAATTGTTCCTGTTGTTTCTATGATAGCTTTTTGGTAGTAAGCATTGCCTATTAAAAATTGCAAAACCAAGATTATACTTAACACTGAGTTCATTAGTAACATTCTCTGCCCAATGGATAGAGAACTGTGGAATTTAGTTGATAATCCAAAAGAGGAAAACTCCAAAGAATGCACCCTACACTTACTTTTCATCTTGAAAGTGAAATCTCTTAGGTTAGTGTAGAATGTTTTTAGCTATCATACTGAAAGTTAAAATAACATGTTTCAATAGTTACTTTCTTTGTATAGGAGGAAGTGTGCTCATATATGATTGTGAAACAATTTTAACTTGGTACTAAATTCAAGAAGGCTAAATAATATAGTAGTTAAGACTAGGTTTTAGAATCAGACCTGGATTTCAGGAATATGACCATTCACTAGTAAGTGTCTGTGGGCTGTTTAAAACTAAATTTAAACAGAATTCAAATATTATGTAAAGTACTTTAGCTTACCTCATAGCTCACAGAATGTGGTCACAGTATGATTGTTATCTTCTAAATCAGTATAATTTAGGCACATATTAGGCATTAAATGTTTAAAGGTCAATGAGATAGACAATTCTCCAAATTTATATCAAAAACATAAAAGATTCTAATTCATTGATTCTGGAGGACTTCAGAAAAAGTGCACATTTCTAATAATAAAGCAAGATTTTTATGCACAAAATCTGACATTAGAGGAATGAGCTTTAGAAAGCAATGTAAACTATCAATTTTTTTTCTTACATATTATGGAAATAGCTAACTAGTTATCTCAGCTACTAATTAACTTTTCATAAGACTAAAAGTTAATATTTTTAAGAAATATCACCTAGACCTGAATTTTAAAACAGGTTATTAAAGAACAGTATTTTACATGAGATGAATATGAACTTAATAGTGGTATATGCTATTGGAATCTCCCAGTGCTTATGACATCATCCAAATCCCCCAGGAGCAGTTCCTGTTCCAAGGCTTAGGCACATTTCAGAAACTAGACAGCACACATTTTATTAACATGAGTCTGAGTTAATTAGCCAAACTGAGCATGTTGCAGCACATCTATACTAGCAGGTGCCAGCTAGCAAAGCAGAATAGAAGCTGCTATGTCTCCAGCTGTCTGATGTCTGATGTCAGTTGGCTTCTCCACATGAATGTTATCAGTCCACACTCTGCTGGCAGATGAGCATTTGCTTGAGTAAAAGTGGGTCTTACTACTGCACATCTACTTGGAAGCATTCGTTCAGGGCACACTCTCACCTTTTCCTTATTAGCTTACATTAGACAAACTATGTGAGACCGGAAGTGCTGCTCAGGGGTGAATGTCCAGTTAGTATACAAAAGGCCCAAAATTTAATACCCATTCTTCCAAAATCTGTTTTTGAAACCTCATCATTCAACTTCAACATTTGAATAAAACAAGATTTTTGTTATTGTTCCTACAATTCTGTGCCATGCCCACTTGAAACTGCACCAAACTGAATTTACTTTAAAAGAGCTAACTTAATGAGTATTTACAAAATAATTTATTTTAAAAGCCCTAACAATGAATATCCTTTGTATAATAGGATTGCTTCTGGTGGTTCAATATCCAGGATTTGAATCTTAGTTCCTAGCAGGCCAGATCCGGTGGTTTTTACCAGTCGCACCAGCTCTGCTGGAGGATGAAGCAGGGATATTACTTGAGCCCAGGAGTCCCAAAGCAACCTCAGCAACTGCATCCCAATCCTGTCTCAAGAGGGGGAGAGGAAGTTGGAGAAATGGCACAGACATTAAAGACTGGGTTTCCAACTTTAAAAAAAAAAAAAAAGTCAATCCCTGTACAACTGGTTCAGTTAGACAATTGCAGTGGCTCTGTATTTTACTGCAGGTCAATGTTAGATTGCTTAACAGCTGAGCTGATAGGAGGAAGGAAGCAATGGGAATCCTAAGGACTAGAGAACTGGAGAGGACATGTTTATCAAATACTTCCAAATACAGCTAAAATTTGGATTTTATGTCAAATCTTCAGGTTTTCAAAATTGATTCAAACACTTTTTAAACATCCAGCAGACCACTAAACTAAATTAAAATTAAACTAGTCTGGGACTTTAGGGCTCCAGCATTCTGATGTCTATATTTCAAAAAAGCATTACGACTTAAAGAGTCACAAAATGCTTTAAAGCATTATTGTAGTCAGAGGCTGCTTGTTCGTTTCCCGAAAGCTCAGACCCGAGGTAATCACACAGAAACATATTAATCGCAATACTGTTTGCCCAATAGCTTGAGGGTGTTTGTAGCTAGCTCTTACATCTTGAATTAGCCCATTTCTATTATTTTATATTTTACCATGAGACCCGTGGTTTACCAGTACCTAGCATCTTTCTCTTCCAGCAGCTACATGATGTCTCCCTGATGCCACCTACTCTCTACTCCTCTGTCTGCTTAGAATTCCCATCCTGTCCCTTTCTGCACTGCAACAGGCCCAAAGCAGCTTCTTTATTAACCAGTGGTATTCACAGCATACAGAGGAGAATCACACTATTACTTCTGTTGGTAAGAATCAAGTCACTTGTCATCTCTGCCAAAGATTCAAGATAGATTTTTAACATACAACAGAATTCTGTTCCCTTGGTTACAGTCCGTATAGGTTTCTACTCTTCACTGCTCACTTAAAACCTTCCACGTGATTTCAGCCTCAAGTTGTAGATATTATAAAGTACATTTGCTTTATCACACATTCTAAAAAACATTTAAGGATACAACTTGGCAGTGCATGCTGCTTTAAATTTAAATAAGTAAAAAATGTTAAAGAAAAACACTTAAATAGATCATGCTGTCATATTTATAGGGAATACAATGTCTACAAAAATTCAAAGGTCTTAGAACTTAGAAGATGCCTTAATGGCAGTGTATAGCAAGTCCATCATGGCATAAAAATTTGACCTCGGATAGTAAACCATGCTGAATTTCTAGGCATTTGTCTATCCGCTCTTTATGTGGAACTTTTAATTTTGGATAGATATTGAGATATGAAGTATGTTTTATATGAGGAAACCAAGCTGCATAATGGTTAAGGAATGTATTCAGGGTCACACAGCTAAGTTAACCATCAGTATAACTTAGGTACCTCATTTAAAGTGGATACGTGAAACAGCAAAAACAGCTATACTAATTAGCATAGAGTACAACTCTAAATAAATTTCCATTTACTTATATAAATGAAATAGATTACTAAAAGAAAATTTTTACCTCAAGCTTGTTTTCCGAAAGCTTTTGTTGTCATGGCTTGTTTGAAACACATAGAACCCTAAACTAGTCTGAAGCATTCCATTTCATACTTTAGAGATGGGTTTTCTATAAGTTAGGGTAAGCTGATGAGTTTACTTAACAAGGGAAAGAGTGATGGTGAAGACCAAGTAACAGGAATGGTGGGCGATATAAGGAGAAGACATTTTCCTATGGGAGTGACTTCTAATACAAAACCAAATATTCCTGTGAGCTAGAACAGTTTTAGAAATGGATCCAAATCCTGTCCTGGGTCTTGATTTTGATGTTTCTGATCCATATTCTTATAACTGGAGTTAGATCTCAGTAATCTGTCACCCCTTCTACCACTTCAGTGACCACAGCTTGCATTTCCCAGATAGCTAGACAAAGATATGACCTAAAGCCTATAGCTCTGTCTAGCTATTTAACATATTAGATGTCTGCTCCGAATGTGACTGCTCTGCTGTAACATTCTTTTAAAACATAGTAACTTAGGGCTGAGACTCCATGGTAGAGCATTTGCTTATCACATGCAAGACCCTGAATTGATCACCAGCACTGAAAAAAAAATCTGTGCTGTTTTCAGAGTGCTATCAAACATAACTAGAATACTCAATCTAAAAATTGAGAACGATCACTCACGTGCTACATATATTGTCTGTGACAGTTGTGAGAAAGAAGTATAGTACTTAAGTTTGTATGCCAAAGTTACTATTTAAATATGTACACATTCCTGAGACTGACTCATTTTTACTTTGATTTCTAACAATATGAATGGCTTTAAAGATGACCATTCCAATAGATTGTGAAGAGTGTATTACTCTTCACTGGTTTCTACTCATGGTAGTCTCGTCTCTGCCTAACATCTTAAATATTTGTGTTCTTTTAATGGGCTTCCAAGCTATTTGCCCAGGTGTAGCATAGAGAAAACTGAGAAGAGGACCAGGTATGGATTGTGGCAGATGAAAGTCCAAGTCCTTTTTCTTCACTTAACAACTTTATAATCTTAAACATGATTACTTTTTCCTAGTCTTTCACAGTTTGCTTTTACATATTGGGGGATGAATGTGAGGTGGGTAATTCAAGTTTTTTTTTGTTTTGTTTTGTTTTGTTGTTTTTTCAAGACAGGGTTTCTCTGTGGCTTTGGAGCCTGTCCTGGAACTAGCTCTTGTAGACCAGGCTGGCCTCGAACTCACAGAGATCCACCTGCCTCTGCATCTCAAGTGCTGGCATTAAAGTCCTACAGCATCACCACCCAGCTAGATACATTCAAACTAATCTGTGTATAAGATCATTACTAAGAGTGTGACTTATAGAGAATGATGGGAGTCTATAGCCATACCACTGTAAAACACAACTGACCTCAGAAGGCAAGCAGTTTCTGACCTGGTTGATGGATGACGGGTGAGTAATTCTGAAATGTTCCTCCTTACTGGTATGTTTTTCTTTATTAAATATTAGTAATATACCCCCATAACTTTTTTAGACTTCATTTTTTTTGAGAATCTAGTTTTATGACATCAATATAGCGGTACAGTACAGTATTGCTAATATTCATTGAACTCTTATTGCTAGGGATTGATGTGAGACTTGATATGAATTCTCTATTTCCCATGCATTAGTATGGCATGTGTGCACCTACACACATACAAAATAAGCAAAATGCTTTAAAAGGATGCTTCTCTTCACTACTGTGTATTCCTGTGTTTTTACCACTAATCCCACCACCCACCATTTTCCACCCCTGAGTGATTTTGTACCTCTGTCATTGATACTGATGTACAGCTGACTCTGTGTACCTCAATCATTTTTATCTTCCAACTGAACTTGCACACTTGCTGAACCTAAACCTGAATTGTGATGTTTTAAGTCGGTGTTATATTGCTGTGAAGAGACACCATGACCAAAGCTCCTCTTCTTTTTGTTCTGTGATCCAGCTGGTTGCCAAGACTGAAACATCCACTGCCTGTATTAGACTCTTTAAAGTGTCTTTCAGTCGTCCTCCTAAAACAGCTTTTACATCTGCACAGGTCCTTTTGTCTTGAAGATACTGCAGTGATTGCAGCTGCCAGTGTAAGACCACCTTTAAGATAGAGAGCCACAGAGAACAGCGCATGTCCACCCGTGCCACTCTAGGTCTGCATGTGCATGCAGCACAACTGTCACCATGCTGTACCTGTGTCATAGAATGCTATTCTGACAGGCAACAGCAAACAGCTGTTATTTTTGCCAGTTTCTCAAATACTCTGCAAGATATTTCTCTTTTCATGTTAAAGTAGTTCCTTTAAAAGACAGTATTTTCCAAGAGTGTCTGAACTTTCCACTTACTAATGAAAAAAGATAAACCATATTGATCTTTATAAATTATTCAGGAAAAGGGTGATTTCAAAGTAGCTTTATTATATTGTAAATAATGGTGTTTTCCTTGGAGTGTGCTCCACCTATCATGTGTCTTACCACACATCTACAGGCTGTATACCATGTAAGCATTTTTTAAAGGAGTCCAGGATCAAATAAGTTTGGCAAATAATACATTTTTAGTTCTCCTGCTGCAAATTCATTACATACTTTAGTACATTTAAGTTTCAAGAAAGTTTTGGTGTTAAAAAGGAAAATAACTTTTCCTTCATAGAACATCTCAAATTTTAGTTAACTATAAAATTCTCTCAGAAAATCTATTAATATTTCTAAGTACAACATAATGTGATTTTACAAATGAGTAGTATTTATGTGAGGGTATACATATGCTTCAAGACACCTAAAGACAATCAGGGCAGAATAAAGGCAAGCAAGGCTAAGAATAGTGAACTTGTAGACCATTAACTTCCATGTGAAGTCTCTAAGTCTTAATTTCCTGAAAAAAAGGAGCCTATAGATAACCATGCTTAGTCTCATTTTCTATACCTACCCCTCCCTTCACAATCACATAACAAAAAAGAAAAAGGCATTTTCGTAGCCAGTGTAGAACTACGATGAAATACTTCAAGGACCAAAATCTCTTGAGTACCAGAGACAGTAAATAAAGTGCGTTTCAAGACTAAGGACTTGGGATTCTTAGGGAATGGTGAGCTTTCACAAAAGGAAATGCTCGGTGCTCAACTTCCAAAACTATACAAGGAAGTGTAGGTACTAAGGATGCAGCTCAGTAGTGAAATGCTAGCCTAGCATACACAGTGAGGAAAAATTAATTTACTAATTTGTTGTTCACTAGAATTAATTATTAATAATAGGTCACTATGACTTTCAAATATATAACAAGTTCAAACAAAAATTTTTCCCATTCCCATCTCAGTACTTATGCCCATATAAATGAAAAGTCAGATTATAGCAATTCCAATAAATTCTCGGCCAAGCATATGTAAACTTACTGAGAAAAAAAGTCCTTAGTAACAGATGTGTGGTCAATAATTTTAACAATGTGTACTTTAAAGTTTTAATTTTATTAATTTATTTAAATTTTTGTAACCAGCTAATATGCTAGTACGATCAGTAACATACCAAGTATGAAAATGTTACATTAGATTAAAATTGTGTTAAAAATAGAGATCTAGGGATTAAAATGAATAATATAAAAGCTCTAAGAACTTTTCCTTTTTATTAAAACGTCACTACCAAATTGCTGTTTACATTGGTTTTAAAAATTGATGTTAAGTATGTAGAAATCATGTCCTTTGTAACTATTACAACTGAAAAATATTTGATTTAGAAACATGTCATGATGAATTGCAGGTAAGACTCTGAAGGGAATATGCATTCTTAAGGTAAAAAGGACACTTTAGTGATCTCCTCTTCCAACTTGTCTAAATACATGACTGATTTTAAAAGCATCTTTCTTAGACAAGTCTTTCAGTGCCCCAAAAACAGTAAAATATCATATGACAAACGTTTTTCTTTGAGTTCTTTTGCATTCATTTTAGACATCCATTACTGTGGAGGTTTGCATTGACTTCTCAGGATCTTAAAGTACACTGCCCATGAGAACTATGTTCTCCGAGAGAGATTACAAACTTTAAAAAGGGAAGGAAACAGCACAGTATTTTCCAGTTACCCTGTCTGAAGACAACAGTATAGTGACACTGCACTTAGCAGTGTTGAACATGCCAGGTGGTGACAGCACACACCTTTAATGCCAGCACTCAGGAAGCAGAGACAGGCAAACAGAGTTCGAGGCCATCCTGGTCTATAGATAAGAGTTTCAGGACAGGCTCCAACACTACAAGGAAACCCTGTCTTGCTATATATATATATGGGTTCCAATATGGTAAGAATACATCTACTTCTTCATTTTAATATTTGTCTTAACATGCCATCACAATCTGGATCATTTTTTAATCTGAGATAGCATTCTAGTCTGTGCATAACCCATAATTTATCTCTTGGCCAGTTGGTGAACAAGTGGGTTCAGTATTGCTGAACATGTTGCTCGTCAATGTCATTTTTAATGCAATGCTGAGTGGCCATCCCAACTCATAAACATCTGCTGTAGTTTCATAAGTATGATAGCTCTGAGGTCAAATACTTGGTTTTAGCAGATAAAGCAAAGTAGCTCTATAAAAAAAATTGAAAGAGGGTGCTCATTTCCATAAGCCTTCTTTCGCTGTGGAAGTTAACAGGCTTTTTGATTTGTCCACATTTCCAAAGTATAGCACATAAACTTACACATATAAAAACAGTCTTTGCATAAGTGTCATCCTAATGATTTTCCTATTACAATTGGATTACCGTCTTCCAGCATTCAATTTAAACTTCTATCTGTACTAAGCTACTTGGTTGTTTCTCTTCCCTTATCCCCAGCTGTAGCTCCAAAAGGCAAAAGATTTTTTTGTTCACTGATGAACACTGTCTGGCATATGGTAGGCCCTCATGGCAGTTTTCCAATACACATTTCAGTAATATGTTTTTCTTTTTTGATCCATCCATCTCTGGTTTTGTATACATCCCATCTGCATTGATACTCTGCTTAGAAGTAGCCACAACTCCTTAAAAATCACTACACCCTACAAAACACTTCTGTTTGGTGAGTAGCAGACTGCTATGAGAAAAAAAGAAAGAAAAGAATGTTCCTTCTTACTCTAGACTCCCAGGGCAATTATCAAAAGTGCATATCCTGGCCAACACTAGCCATTAGATCTCCACCTTGCTTATTTTAGCCCTTCCCTTCCTGTTTCTCTCCTGTCAAGGCCTAAGGGGCCTAGAACAAGAATCAGTCCTACTAAAGCAGAAACCGCCTAAGCAAACGAGGGCACTGATGTTACCCTCACCAGTGTCAACACATTCTTTGCCAGTCCTTTAGCCACACACCCTTTCCACTAACAATGGTTCAAACAGATGAACACCAAGTATCATTGTTTTCCTCTTGTATTTTGGATGTGTAAGAGGTAAAAACCAAAGGAAAACAAAGAGTAGTGATTTAATTATACAAAGCTAGAGTTGCTCTTTCTGTAAACAGCTAAAACTTAACCTACCATGATGGGCAGCATCTTGCTTGTAACGTAGGAAACTAGTTACTGTGCTTTACTTTTAGTAGTGCCCACCCTTTTCAGTGGCATGTCAGATCTGATGCAGGCACGAGACTTTCATTGTGATGTTTTAATGGAGATACGAGGGCTCAGCAGCTGTGCTGATTTAATTAGGACATGCACGTCAGTCTTCCACCCAACATTGAAGAAAAGGCTTCAGTATTAAGTTTCGGGCCTAAATAGAAAGGAAAAAAATGTATTTGGGGCTGTGCATTCTAAGGAAATTGCATGGTATACTTACCTCACACTCCATTTAGAGAAGAGGTGCTTTCCTGGCCTACTCCTTACATCATCTACTGTCCCTGACAGAACAGAGAGAGAACAGGAATAAAGTTTGAAGACAGGAGTTCTGAAAAACAGATAGAGGTTCTCAGGAACCGAGACATTCCAGAGTAATTTGAAGGAGAAGACAATCAGTTGAAGAACATAAAGTAGAAAGCTTATATTAGGAATGTCTAAGGAGTGGAACAAGAATGACAAAGAACAAAAGCATCTTCATTTGGTTATAATTAATTTGCAGTGGGTGGAAAAGCAGGCACCAAGCCAGCATCACCACTTTATAATAAATCTTGGTAGTAACATTGTGAAAGACATAGTAAGGTTGCATCAGTGTAGTGAAACATCACTGAATGGGTGGCACTGTCTAGAAAAGCGTATTTAGAAAAGCACCATTCTACAATTTGACCCAGGAACTTAGAGCAGACAGTATAGCTGTAATCTGCAACAAGTGTTACTGGCTTAAATAGCTATAATACTACAGGAACGTGTATCCTGGTCCTTTAGCATATTGTATCTCAGTGGAACTACTAAAGCATGCTTCATGTCTATTTCATAGCTTGCTTACCCACTATGTTGCTTCTTACAGATTACAGCTGAGCAACCCAGAATTGAAAGTTAGGCATCAGCTGTCAGCAAACACAAGAAAGAATGTTAGGAAATGTTGCTATTACCACCTCATCATCTCCACCTCACCCTTTTCAGTTGGTAGTTAGATTGGTGTTAGTGTCTTCTCAAGAGAGAAGCTGTCAGTGAACTAAGAAGCCTTACTATATGCCTTTTCTCAACTGAATGATTTCCTTTTTTAAAAAAAAAAGAAAATATGGCCGGGCGGTGGTGGCGCACGCCTTTAATCCCAGCACTCGGGAGGCAGAGGAAGGCGGATCTCTGTGAGTTCGAGACCAGCCTGGTCTACAGAGCTAGTTCCAGGACAGGCTCCAAAACCACAGAGAAACCCTGTCTCGAAAAACCAAGAAAAAAAAATATGTCAGGCAATGGTGGTGCACACTATTAATCCCAACATTTGAGAGGCAGAGGTAGGTGGGTTTCTGTGAGTTTGAGGCCGGTCTGGTCAACAGATGAGTTCTAGGACTGCCAGGGCTGTTACATAGAGAAACCCTGTCTCAAAAAAACAAAATAGAAAAAAAACAAATGTAAAAGCAAAAAGAGAAGTGAAGTTTTACAAATCTTTTCCTAGGATGAGAAGTTAGAATGCTTAGCATTCCAGTTACTATTGACTAACGACTAACAAGATCTAGATACATGTAGAATGTCTCAGCCTTATTTCAGAGAACCACAGAAAACTGCTGAGGAAGTCTGACAGATAAGGCTCCTTACTTTCTGTAGTCTTTGTTTCAGCTATGGTCGCCAGGAATTCTTTGGGAATTTTAATGTCAGTAACTGATTTCTCATTCAAGGAGCAAAAGCACTGTATCCAGCAGTTATAGATGGCAGAAGTGAAGTCGATGTTCCGGGAAGTCCTTCCAAAACAAGGTATATTTCACAAGTATTTCATTGTAGACTACTAGAGACTTACCAGGTGATGGGTATCGCGCAGCAGAATAGCTAAGTACCTACATCTTCCGGGTTATGACAGTCCACTCTCATATTTTGTTTTCATGAGAAGGTTGTAAAAAAATTTCTCACTTTTCTCAACAAAGGATACCAAATTAAGTACTGTTTCCTGTAACTATAAATCTTATTGAACTGAGCTAGGCAGTGGTGGCACACACCTTTAATCCCAGCACTTGGGAGGCAGAGGTAGGTGCATCTCTGTGAGTTTGAGGCCAGCCTGGTCTACCAGAGCTAGTTCCAGGACAGGCTCCAAAGCCACAGAGAAAACCTATTTCAAAAAAAAGAAAAATCCTGTACTTCAGTGCAGAATACAATGTGAAATTCTCAGTGAAATGGAATTTAAAGGAAGATTGAAAATATGGAGAAAGTAACCTAAAGTCATACTCTGGTGAGAAAAGCTAACCATTCCAGTTAAATACTTCATAATTTGAGCATTCACATTAAATATTGCACCTTGCTATATTTCTGTGTTGTGTATATATTCCTCCAATTAAACATTAGGTCCAAAAAGCTATGGTATATCGAAGTCCAGCTCTTGTTTCCTGACCCTTCTGTAGTGTTAAGAAATGTTGCTTATGGGATCACTGCTTTGTCAAGCTAGGAGCAGAAACTTTTTCACTGACTTACATTCTAGTTACAAATCAAAACCACCAAGCATCTTCCTCTGCTGTGGGATAATGCTCTTGTACCCTGTAAGATTTATTGGTTCAATAAAATGCTGATTGGCCTGTAGTCAGGCAGGAAGTATAGATTGGGTGACCAGACTAGAATAACTGGGAAGAGGAAAGGCTCAGTCTGCGGTCACCAACCAGACACAAGACAAAAAATGTTGCATTGAGAAAAGGTACCAAACCACATGGCTAAAAATAGATAAGAATTATGAGTTAATTTAAGTTGTAAGAGCTAGTTAATAAGCCTGAGCTAATAGGCCAAACCATTTATAGTTAATAAACGGTTATTTATCTGTGTTTATTTGTGACTGAGCAGCTGAGGGACTGGATGGGACCAAAACTTCTGTCTACATTCCTCAAATTAATTTCTTATTTCTTACTAGGGCAGTTGTCTGTAGAAGATATAACCACAATGGTGCTGTGTAAACCCAAGCTTTTACCCTTAAAATCTCTGACTCTGGAAAAACTGGAGAAAATGCAGCAAGCAGCACAGGATACAATCCGCCAACAAGAAATGGCAGAAAAAGAAGACCAGCAAATAGCCCACTGACTAGTACCACTTTAAGGGGACAACCCATCTCACCTGTTCAGCAACTAGAAACCATTCTGCATCTACAGGCTGAAAATACATAATCAAACTGGACATTCATAATTTTAAAAAACAAAATTTGGGAACTTAAACATTGGCTTGTATTAAAAAGAAAACTTTGAATGATGTTTTATGGGATCTTAAAAAGGTTTTCAAAATTATAAATTACCTTATTCAACCTACCTACTGTAGTAGTGTTAGAGATTAGATGTGTCTGTTCTGGATGATGGATTCCTCATCTTTTTAGACACCTAAATCTGAAAATAAACTATTCTTGAATATATTGTTACCCAGAAACAAACTTAACCAGTTATGTACCATGTCATCCTTAATGGTATGTAGCCTGACCATAATGACAGCAGTAATAACAAAACTGGTTTCTTAACAAGTTTGATTTTTAAAAAACCTTCAGCTATTTTGGAGTCAACTAAGCTTTTAATTACACTAATTTTAAGAAATAGAGAATTACAAAAGTATTGATTACCAAATACCAAAACCTAGAAATGCTTTATTTTAGCCATCACAGTAATAAATATGAGCTTTAAAAAACACTAGAGGGTTTTCTTTCTAAAAGACTACCTAGCCTGGTAACCAAGAAAATATTTTGGAAATTGTAAATATAATGGTTGATTGCAGTCACTAGACTTCTTCAATTGCCACAGACTTTGAAACCTTGCTAAGTAATTAGCTTTTATAAAAGAGGCTAGAAATATGATCTCCCTTTAAAGTAACTTATTTATTGGCAATTACATATTGATATTTAGATAAATGTAAAGCTTTAAGTAGAATACTTGATTTAAGAGAATACTTCCTAATACTTATTTAAGAGAATACTTTTTTTCTTCCATGAGCAACTTTTCTTACCTGAATAAACTCTCTGAAGTCAAGGAATCTAAAACCATAGTTAAAATATGCTTCAAATTTCTATACTGTAATTCTGTCAAGATATCCAGCTGTTCTATGCCCATCTTCTTGCCAATCAGTCCTGCCAGAATATGCTGAAGTCTGTCTGTTTCCCCCTCATCCCTTTCCTCAAAGAATGCCTCGTCATCTTCCTGCTGGAATCTCTTCTTTTTGCTTTTCATAAAGAGCTCATGAACTAACAGGAGGCTGGGGTATTTTGATAAGTTCTTAAAGCTTAAAGTCCAATCCCTGATCTTCTCACTGGAGCCTTGCTAACCCTCCGAGGTGACTGAAGCAGCACCCACTCTTGCTTCAGAGTTGGGAGTAACCATCTGCTTTTCATCTTCCGTTTCTGACTGAGAGCCTTGCTCCCGGAGAGTGGACAGTCTCCTCAACCTTCCAGGATGCTTTGGCTTTTTTTACAAGGTCCCCCATTCTGGGGGGTCCCCTTCTGAAACAGTTCTTCTTGCAAAGAGCCCTGTTGGTCAGAAATGGAATCTTTCAACTTATTCCAGGTAAGGGAGCTAAAACCACTGTTCTCCAGGTGTTGAAACACTGTCTCTCACTTCTGCTGAAGGAAAAAGCGTTTGGCTCCCCTTAAATCTAGTTTTTGATATGAGACTACTTATTGGAGTTACATACGTGGTTACCTCTATTCCAAAGGTGGTCTGGCTACCAGAGGAGCCCAGTTCAGGACATGTATTCTCATCACTAACACTTAAACTGCTGTCACTAAAGTCGTTTGTGATAGAACCTTGGAAATCATTGCCTTGAATTGGAGACAGACATTCCACTCCAAATAAGCCACACTGTCCCATGGAATCATCAACTGTGGAAGTCTTGTGCTGAGTAAAACTTAACCTCAACTTCTGACTGCTACAAGTACCATCCTCTGTAACTAACGAGCTGAAGTTGTACTGGCTTTGGGAAACGCTTTTCTAGGCTAACAATGTGGCTTATGTTGCCTTCCAGAGACCAGCTTTGTGGATCCGAATCCCCTTTCAGAAGAGTGAAAGATAAGTCGAGCCGCTACGCAATGAGCATGTTTTCCTTCTGAAGGAGAATACTTTTTTAAACGTCAACATAATTTAAGGATAAGAGCTGTTTATATATTAGACAAACTTTATTCAACTCTAGCTCAGATCAATAAACAAAGATAAACTGCATGTATGTCCCTAGTGTAACCTTAAAAGGCTTTTCAACTATTACACTGCTCTAAGATTTTTAAGTGTCTTGTGTTTATGCCACCTATATGCAGGTGTCCATAGAAGTCATAAGAGGACATCTGATACCCCAGAAAACTCAAGTTCCTGAAGGTTGTGAGCTGCACGATGTGGGTGCTAAGAATCTAACTTGGATCCTATGAAAGAGCAGCAGGTGCTCACTGCTGCTTAGTGATCTCTCTAGTCCTGTTTTTTATTATTATTAAAGTTTGAAGGTTAAAATAAAAAAAGAGTTTGTAATAACTTGAATTCACTAAGCTCAAGTGTACTTGTTCTGAAAGCCAGGCGTGATGGTCCATGCCTTTATTCCCAGCACTCGGACACAGAGTAGACACAGACTACCATGAGTTTGAGGACACAGGCCAGCCAGAGCTACATAATAAGACTCTGTCTCAAGAAACAACAAAGCATTTTTGTTTGTCCTGCACTTTGGGAATGAACACAAGGCCTAATGAAGTTTAGACAGGAAACCTAAAAGACGTTTTCAACACACAAAATAAATGTACTCCCACTAAAGAATCAACACTGCTTCACGTTTTATTTTGTTGTACATTCTTGTAGAACCGGGTTCATTTTTCCAGTTTTGTAGAAAAATAGATGTTCCAGCCACCATTTACTTAACTGTCTAGTATTTAATACCAATCAATATGTTCCCTGGAAAGATGAAAAAGTCTCATGACTAACTCGTCTTTTAAAAATTCTTTTTAAGACAAAAGTGTGTGTGTGTGTGTGTGTGTGTGTGTTAGAGATGTGTGTAGGGTGAGTATGTATGTGTGTGTTTATTCCCGAAGCACAGCATTTCCACAGCAGCAGCCAACATGGGGCTTAGTAGCTTCACTTGTCCCCTAACTAAAGCTTTGTATAAACCAGTGATTTTACTACAAAAAAAAAAAAAAAAAAAAACACTGTCCTTGAAAGAAAGGAGTGGCAGTCAGACATCAATGCAAAACCTGGAATGATTAGGTCATAAACATGGCACTTAGAAAAAGTAGCTATTCAGAATATTCCACATTTAAGTGGTTACTCTTCTGTCCCTCCTTTAGTTTCCCCTCAAAAAAAAATACTTCCTTCAAAAATCCCCATTAAATGTAAGTTTATAAAATTTCAGAAATGCCCAAAAAAAAAAAAAAAACCTGCACTAACAACTCTTACAGTTCAGATCTGCCGCTATCCCAGCTAAGACTGCAAGAGCTCTGCCTTCAGTAGCTCTCTGGTTTAAGACGACCTCCATCTCCTTCACTTACAAAACGCTTTCTTCCCCTGTAAATGAAAAGGACAAAAACAAAAGCAGGTAAAAATCTGACTCGAAAAACATTAAAACCTTGACATCTATGTTTATACATTTAGACATAAAGTGTTCTGCTGTTTAAGGCCAGCGTGTCTGAATTCCTTTGAAAGGATGTTTTTTACCTACTAGAAACCTTAGCCTTAAAGATCATCAGATAAAGAGCAAGTATGAGGAGCTTAGAGAAACAATTACTAATGAATTTTCTTTATTAGTTGTAATTAAAGTTAAAATACGAAATAAAGACATTTTACTTAGACTTCAGTATTTATTTTTACCTTATTTGAAAGCAAGTGAGCCAAACAGAAGGTGATTCAAAGAAAGTAAAGGCTCCTCTTGCCACCAAACCTGATCAATCCTGGGACCATCATGGTGGAGGTACAGAATGAAATCCCAGAAGTTGACCTCTTACCTCCATATATGTACCATGATATGAACACACATGTCCACATAAATAATGTTAACAAATAATATCACCAAAATGTTTAATAACTAAATTTCCCTTAGCCTTAGAAAAGTCCTAATCTTCTATTAGAAAAGGTAATCTGATTTCTTTAGCCTATATGCCCCATTAAGGGAAGGCTGACTGTGGTTTGGAAACTCAAGAAACTCTCCTCTATTAGAGCCACTGCACTCCAGCTACTGCAGCAGCACTCTCTGAGAACAACTGGCCAGCAGCCTACATCAGTAAGTGTAGGCAGACCTATTACAGAATTAGCCCCTGCTCTCTGCCCCAAGCATGCAAGATCACACATGCATGTGTACTTAACACACAAACACAAAAGCTTAATGATGACAAAAGTCAAAGTTGTTTGGTATTATATTACACAACTGTAGGAACTCTTCAATGACTCCAGAGTTAAAGCCCCCAATAAAAATAACCAGACTTTCAAACATAAGCTTTAAAAGAACCTTAAAACGCAACCATAAGGTACTGGGACAGGAATCTGCTGTGTCCCTACACTGAGGTCAGGGTGGGATGAAAGGGTGAAGACAAAGTCCCGCTAGGGTCACCCGCTAAGGCGGCGGTTTCACTGATGCTATGTGATGTATGGCATCTAGCCATGATTTGCATTTCCAGAGATTTCTACACCTCCATCTTCTCCTCTCTGAGCCTATAAACTTTAGTAGTAGTTTTTCTAAGACTCTTCACAAAACAAAATTCAAAGCTTACAGTTTTCAGACTTAAAAAGAACAAACAAAAATGTATATAAAACATGTTTGGTTACAGCTAAGTCTTTAACTTGCTACACTACTGCCTTATTAAGGGGAAAAGCCCTTATCAACTCTTTATATTATATCCTAGTGGTACAAAATATAATTCCTTAAAGAGAAAACAGTCCTACAGTAAGTGTCTGTTCTTCATCACGTGAAGCAAAGAAAGCCACTGCCAAGTACAGGAAAGCATTTAGACCTTAAGTCTAGAAAGTCTGAGTTCACACTTTGCCAATACAAGGCACTAGTCATGAGAACTTGAAGGTTCACTAAATAATCTCCAATTTTCTTGTGTTTCTAGTGATAATATCTACACTGAAATAACATTTACTAACATCCTGGTAAACATCTACACTGTATAAAATTAGCTCCCTCCAAATAGTAGTCCTGTCCACAGTTGCAAGAGAACAAGGAAGCTTAAACTCTTAAGTAGACAAGTACAGTTCTTGGCCTCCAGTCACTTCAAGAAAGACACTACTTCATTTTCCTGACAGCAGAATCACACACACACACACACACACACACACACACACACACACACACAAACTATCTTAGCTCCCCAACTATCTCATTCAGTATTTTACAATGAGAAAGTACCTTGATGGACAAAGATCTCGGACTTGTTTGGAAATGATTCCAGCCTGAAAACATTCCTCCACAAATCTCTCCAGCACAGAGTATGAGTGTGGAACATCCAGATTGATATCTGGAATTTCATTGTAAATTCTCTCATAACCCTAGAACAAAATTACAATTGTTAACCCTGCATAAAAATGATGATGTCATGAAACAACCCACCACTGTATTATAAACTGATGCAGTGCAAATTGGCAAAACAAGTCAATAACTGAACCTTGAATATAAAGTATATTTGCTTTCTTTAAAACGTCTCTAAAGAACACCAGGCAAATGTCAGACAATGAGCAAATTCCCTGACTATCTACTTCTCAATCTACATTTACTATCTTGTATATAAGATAAATAGTTTCACCATTTAAAAAACATGTACAACTTAAATAGGAAAAGAAATATCATTTAAATGCTTTTGTATCTCACAAACTGAACAATCATACTTTTAAAAAAGACTGAAGTGTTATCTAAGTTTCACATCCAAAAAATTTAAAAAGTCAAAATCTCAGGCATAATACTACAATACACTAAAAGAAACCTTCATTAACAATTCATAACCTTTATACAATCATATAGTTGAAGTATTATTTAAAATAATGTCATACATACTCTTTTCATTTGGTCTATGGTAATGGTAGAAGACTTCCACAAGGATTGTAATAAATCTAAGATCATCTTGAATGCACTTTCTCTAGTTGACTCTAAAACCATTACAATGGCCTAAAAATTGAACAAAAAGAGTAAATTAATTTTTAACAGTTCATGAGAAACTGCTCCTAAAAATGTATCAGATCTCTCCTCTAACATGTAGTGATTGTGTTTTTTGTAATGATTATATAAACATAAATTTTAGAATTTTTAAGGAAAAAAAGCTTTGTATTATTAAATAAAACATTGGTCACTGTGATATAAGAGCAACTAAAAATCATCTTGGGGGGCTAGAGAGATAGCTCAGCAGTTAAGAGCACTGACTGCTCTTCTAGAGGACCTGGGTTCGATTCCCAGCACCCACATGGCAGCTCACAACTGTCTGTAATTCACTCATACACAGACACACATGCAGGCAAAACACCAATACACATAAAATAAAAATAAATCTTTAAGAAAAAAAGGAAAGACAATCCTCTTGGGTATGAAAATGTACTCTTACTTCATACACAAGCTCGTGGTGAAAATGAGGTACTTCCAGTTCCTTAAGGCAGTGTTCAGCTTCAGAGATGTCTCCAGAGAGTAAGTACTCTTTAAGTAGCATATCAATCTGTTATATTTAAAAGTTGCAATGTTAGAATTCCTAATTTTTAAAAGCTGTGTGCTTACCTAAATTATTTACATTCACACCAATATTAGATATAGGGATTTGACAGGGTGGTGTCATAATATTTAATTTTTCATAATTGAAGAATTTTTTCATAATTAAAAAATAAACTTCCAGGCTTTGAATGGCTCATTGGTTTTCTAAGGAATGACTGGTATCCACAAGCAGGTTTTATAATGTAGATGCCCTGCCTTAGAACTATAATGTTTCAATATATCCTATTAAAAATAAGGGATTTGCCAGGCAGTGGTGGCTCCTTTAATCCCAGCACTCTGGAGGCAAAAGCAGGCAGATCTCTCTGAGTTTAAGGCCGGCCTGGTGAGTTCCAGGACAGCCAGGGCTGTTAAACAGAGAAATTCTGTCTCAAAAAACAGGATAGATGAATGAATGACTAGATGGAGTGATTTAGGGGCTGGAGAGACAGATCAGCAATTAAGAGCATGCAGAGGACCAGACTATCTCTGACCACCCATTACCAGCAGCTCACAACAACTTGCAACTTCAGCTCCTAGGATCCCACAACTCTGTCCTCCATAGGCATCTAACTTAAGTGCACATACCCACACATACATATAATTAAAATAAATCTTTGAAAAGGACAAAGGGTTAAATACCACTAGAGGGCACTAACATAAAGTCCCATTACTTTTTGGAATGCCATCAAGTATCAGGGTGGTCTAAATGCAATTGAGAATCAAAAAGTAAGAGATACTGGGACATTACTACAAGAACAAATATTTCCAGTTTCTCTTCTCTCTAGAATTGAGAATTTGAAACTCAGTATCTCAAAACATTTAGTGAGGGTGGAGAGACGGTTCAGTGTTTAAAAGCACAATGGTTGTTCTTCTGGAGGACCCAAGTTCAATTCCCAGCACCCACATGGTGGCTAGCCACCATCTACGACTATTCGCTGCCCTCTTCTGGCCTCTGAGAGCACTGCACACATGTGGTATACAGACTCTATACAGGCCAAACACCCAAACACATTAGAATATTACATTAAAAAATTAACACCTTCAGTAATTGAGCTTCAGTCATAGCAAAAGAGACAGTATCATTTCTGGCTCTAGAAAAAGACTGGTAATTTTTTTTTCAGCAAAAGAGCTTTTCAAATAAAAAATAATGTTCTTTACAAATTTTCTGGGAAAAGCACTTGTTTCTAATGACACTAAGTGTATTTTGACTCGGTGAATACAAGAATGAAGACCAAAGTTCAAAGCCCCACACTCACATAAAAATAATAATAAAGCCAGGCATGATCGTGCATAAATATGATTCCAGCACCGCTGGGCAGAGACTAAGGGATTGCAGAAGCTCACTAGCCAGTAAGTCAAGAAAAAATATCAAGCTTCTAGTTGAGTGAGAGACTCTGTCTCAAGGCAAGGCAATGGAGAGTAACGGAGGAAGATGCCTGATGCCCAAGTATGTGCACAGGCACAAAAACTTGTACCTCATATGCATGAGTGCACCACCATAATACCAGACACACATTATACACATACACAAAGTATTTAATACAAACATACATATTACATACTCAACATATTTTATACCAATACTTAATATTTCAATTACGTTTACTAAAAACTACACGCTGTGTGTTGTTTAAGTTGTATTTGCTATGCCACTGAGAAAGTGGACATGGGGCTGAGGAGACCAGCGCAGTGGCTAACAGCACTTGCAACTCTTGTGTGGGGCTGGGTTCAGTTCCCAGAACCCACGCAATAGCTCACAACTGCCACAGCTTAGTTCCAGGGGATGCAAAGGACTCTCTGGCACACATGCACATACACACACACATACATGCTACACATAAAGATTTACACATACAGAGAAGCAGGCACACACACATATACAGAAATATATTTTAAAAAATAAAAATTTACTTGAACCTTGCTTCCATTTAAATGAGTACCCAAAATAATGTAAATTTCAAATTCATATACTGTTATTTCCAATCTCCTTTTAACTGAAAGATAATTCACATAGTCTAAGAGTTTGTCAATTTCTCAAAATATCACCTTCAGAGAGTATTATCATCTTAACGATATTGTCTTATAATCCATAAATGTGGCATATCCTTCAATGTTTTCAGTTTTTAGTGTATAAAACTTGAATTTCCTTTAATTTTGTCATATTCTAATTTTATGCTTTTATAAACAGCCACACTTTCATTTGTTATTCTTTCAATCCTAATGTATAAAGAACTGAATTTCATGTATTGACCTTATTATCATGCAAATTTGCTAAGCTACGGGTTAAGTTTGGCTTTTTTGAGTTTCTCTGTAGATTCCCCTGAATTCTCCAATCTATGTATCATTCATCTGGGAATAGAGCTGGTTTGACATCTTCCTGTCCAGTTAGGATGCTCTTTATTACATTTCCTTGCCTAATATCCCTGGGATATTCATATTTTAACTTTTCTTATAACTCTTCAAATTTTTAAAAGACAATGCAGTCATGACCTGACATATCTAATCTAACCTATGTAAAAAGCAAAAAAATGATCAACACTGTAACTACCCATTTGAGCTAGCTCCTTACCACTTAAACTAGAGATATAAAAAAGACTGAGGGTCGAGGACCAGCTCAGCCAATTAAGTTCTTGTCATGCAAGTTTGATGACCTTTACTTTGATCCTCGTAACCCACATAAATACACTGCACATGACATGCTTGTAATCTCAACATCAGAAACAGAGACAAGGAGACCTGTGGCTCACTATCCAGCCAGCCTAACTATGGTTAGCATGAATTGTAATTGGTCTTAATAAATATTTTAAAGCCCAGAGTCAGATATGAAAGAGTAAAAGCTGAAAGATCAGAGAAGCAAACAGCCAACCACTAGAATTCTTACCTCTACCAATGCTCAGACCAAAGGGGCAATTCTGCTCTCAGACTGCCTCCGACTGCGTCCTCAGACTGTTTCAGACTATTTCAGACTGCATCCTCAGACTTTGTCCTCAGACTGCACTGAGCTCCTGTCTCCTCCCCTCCCCGGCCTTGTACTCCTCTCTCTACCCAGCCATATCCCTTCCTGTCTCCACCTCCCTAGTGTTAAAATTAAAGGCGTGTGACTCCCAAGTACTGGGAATAAAGCTGTGAGCCACCACTATCTGGCTCTGTTTCCCTTTTAGACTGGATCAATTTCGCATAGCCCAGGATGGCCTTGAACTCAGAGATCAGTCTGCCTGTCTCCTGAGTGCTGGCTTTAAAGACGTATGCCACCAATGCCTGGCCTCTATGGCTAATTAGTGGCTTAGCTCTGCACTCTGATCTTCAGGCAAGCTTTATTTGTTAGATTACAAACAAAATATCACTACAGCTATGTCATAAGTAAGGTCCCAGTGAAGACTCTGTCTCAAAAAGCAAGGTGACATTTCCTAAAAAATGAGACCTAATTTTGACCTCTGAACTAAAACACACACAAGACACACATGAATACACACACACACACACACACATACAAACTAATTGAAAATCAAACTTAAAAAGAATATACTAAAAAAAAATTACTTAAACTACAAATCTTCTAACTGCAGGTCTCAAAATATGTAGTCAGACACTTACATTTTTCCAGTTGTTAAAGAGACAATCCATAGGAAGCAAATCTTGCATTTTAATGAAATAACCCAACTATTAATTTTCCTTAGCAAATGTAGTGAACATCCTTATAAATATCTACCACTCTGATCGGCTCTAATAGTAATGATCCCTAACTTGTAATCTCAGACTACCTAAATTGCTTATATATAATATTTATTGAACAATTTAAAAATAGAGTTTTAAGTAGGTGGTGAAGGTGCACGCCTCAATCCCAGCACTCGGGAAGCAGAGGCAGGCAGATCTCTGTGAGTTCGAGGCCAGCCTGGTCTACAGACAGAATTCCAGAATAGGCTATAAAGCTACAGAGAAACCCTGTCTCAAAAAACAAAAACAAAAAGGCATTTTAAGTTAAAACTAAATACAATTATAAAACAAGATTTTAGGCATTCCCCAGATATTCACAGACAGGTTCCTTATAGTTATTCCTTCCTTAGATGTTCACAGACAACATTCTTAACATTCACGAAAGGCCTCTTAATAGTCACGCCATTAAGTCACAAAACAGGGAATAATAGCAACTATGCAATTATTTTCTCTTTTGTAGATTATTCCATTTTTTTTTACTTGCAGGTATACAATCACAATGAATTCTCACCCACAAAAAATGCCATTTAGTAGTTGTCTTACTGTTTTCTCTTTCAAAGGACACATATAAGTTGAAAACAATGCTTATCAGGTACCTCTTTAACAAGGTGATTGACAGACTGCTGCCCGCCTCCAGATCCCCACACGCTGTCTTTGCGCTTTCCACCTTTAGACATACTCAGAAGCACAGTAGCTTTATCCAAAGCAGCTCTACCAAAGAGACGAGAAAAAAGAAAAGTAGAAAATTACAGATAGGCTGAGGTTTACTGAATTATCAATAGTTTGCAAAAGTGTCTATGTATTGACAACATTTGTGTAACAAAAAAATGTAATTTGGGGGAATAACTTTTCAAATTAAAATTAGTTAGCAAAATATTTCACATTCTTATGTTCCTTTACATCCATTTCTCATCAAGAATGACCAAAATACAGGACAAAACTACTGATCTATCACCAAAACCAAACATTTCACATATAACTTTATATAGATTCACATCTTCCCACCCACGAAAGTCATTCCACTAGGACCTGACGTAGGAAAATTAGTATCTATATCTGGAAAACCTGAGACATGGCTGTCTAAACCAACATCTCCAGGAAGCTTAAAAAAGTAAAACACCATGTTTGGCTTATAATTCACTAAATCAAAGAACAAAAGTGAAAAGCACATATTCTAAGAAAAGGTTTCTACAGAATTCTAAACAAGGCTCACTAAGTAGATCTTACTAAAACATGAAATGACTTCAGGAATCAGACCCAGAGGTATCCTGATCAATATACACTCAACACTTTCATTTTACAAGTAGGGAAATTGAGGTCCAAAGAAGGATAACTTGAAATGAGGGAACCTAATAAATTAGCTCAGAACTTTTGCATTTTATTACTGTCCTCTTCCTGTTATTCCATGTCAACAATCTTTTAACAACAATGAGCAAATAAATGACAACATGTTCAAAACATCTGATTAATGCGAGTATCACTGTAGAACTGCCTGTTTTGAAATTCTAAGAAGCAAAACTTAATCTACTTACCTAGCCTGTACACAATCTACAGTTCCTTTGTAACTATCAATATAGGTATTACATAAAATTCCATCTCCAACAGCTCTGGCAATGAACTGGCCCACCAACTATAATAAGAAAGAGAACTATGTAAAAAAAATCCAAAATAAACCTTTATTAGACCACAGTTTTGAAATGGATAAATGACAGAAACTAGCTGAACTACACAACAGATAAAATACATGCTGGGTTATGCAAAAGCAACGTTTGTCACGTATGAAGTATACTCCTTTACATTAACCTTCAAGTTAATGCCGCCGAGATCGAAACCAACATCTGTTTAGCTCTCTACTTAATCCTCAATACTTTTTACACTGCCTCATTCTAAACATGTTACCAATAATATCTGTTAAAATGACTTAGTCAAGAAAAAAACACTCTTCATTTCTTAAATAAAATAGCCCAGAATGTTTTTTCAACCACTTATGAAACGTATCTTGTGGAGGAAAGTTATGCACAGATGTTCATTTGAAAGTATGACCACAGCATTATTTACTACAGAAACTGGAAATGACTTCAGGGTCTGACAATGATGGCATGGGTAAGCAGTGCACACAGACCAAAGTACACTGTGGGGTAATAGAAAAAGATATTTGATACATCTTGTAAGAAAAATCAAATCTAAAAAACAATTAATGTGTCACAATCCATTTCCTAATTAAGTTTAAAAGATATTGATAAATAACCAAGAAACTAGAAAAAAAATGTTAATAGGTTTTTGTGGGGATTTTTTGTTCCAGTTTTTCTTCTATAATTACTAATTATAAATTTCTATAATTAATATAACTTAGATGTCATCTTTAAATGTGTATATAAAAAGAAGATAGAAAATAAGTCTATTTCATTTAGAAACTCGTTATAAATTGAATTTTATGCAGATGTTAATAAACAGCAATTGCATGTTTTTAAAGTGACAAAAGGGAGGTTATGATTTATTCTGTTTCAACAAATACTACTGAAGTAAGTCAATTGTCACTATTAGAGAAACATGTATTTTAAAAACTCTTGGTAAAATAGTGTACATGTAATAAAAATGTATGAGCAGAAAATTCATGTATTATATATGTCTAAAAACGATGCACACGTGGGTGGGAAAGAGGTCAGACATAAAACTTAATTTCAAGACTGTTTGGAAATCAGCAGAAAGGCTGAGTAGGTTACAGCCCAGTGATAAAGCACTTGCCTAGCAGTGGGTACCCTTGGTTTAATAGATAGTAATAAAAATGTAAACAAAGGTGGGGGGGACATGAAGATGTGCATAGCTATTTTTGGGGGTCTTAAGCAATACAGGTCATTGCCTTCTAGTTATTAAAACTGCCAGGACAGTTTATTATTTCTACTACCAAAAGCACAGAAGGAAAGGACAGTAAATGAAAAGAGAAACGCACAAACCTGTGGTGCTCTAGGAGTGTCCAATGCTAATTCAGGCAGATCCTTCAACAACTTATCAAACGACTTCTCCACATCATTTGTGCTCATTACTGTACCACAAAGGTCAGAAAGTAGCTTTGATGTCATTTCTCGATGACTGGCCTTCCCCTCCAATGCTAAGGACACTGCCAACACCGGCACTCCACTTTTCATTTCACCAAGGTTTAAATCTCTTAACATTTCCTATTTAAAAGAATGAAAATAATTACCCGTCACTACAGTTCGGTAAAATTTTAGTTTTGTAGTCATGCTTTTTACCTATCATTATACCATCCTTTTTTAGAAATATCAAAATAGTCATATTTAACAGGTTTACATCAGTAATATTGATATAACTTTTAAGTGTCTGAACATCAGTCCATTTAGACTGTGAAGAACACTGAAAACAGCTCATTCAACTACCTAATTAACTAAACCTCTGCTTTACAATCTATTACTATTATTTCTACAAATACTTGAATTGTGGAGAAATCCATTTTATATTACAGTCTGTTTACATATTCTACTTTAAAGTTTTCTCTTGAAGACTATGTTTCATAGTACAAGCTCTTCCTCTCAATACAATGTTCAACTGTCATTCCCTTTACTTGACTGATCTGCAGGAGGCAGGACATGGACCACACATTTCTCCTCATGGTGTATGTTATGTAATGGTTTTCTCCAAGACTGAAACATTATCTTCAGGCAAGGGAATCTCTCTTAACAAGAAAGTAAATCTCTCAAAAAAACTTCAGAAAGTACCTGAAACTGACAAGACTCACTAGGTCTTTCCAATCTTACCAGAGGTCTTTTCCTACCAGAGTAAACAAAACGAATCTACAAAGAGGATGTTCAGCAAGACCAGAGCAGCTGCCTGGGAGCAGCAGAAACCAGATGAGCTGCCTACCAGAGATTTAGACCAACTGAGACACCTGCTTAAAGGTTGTGCAGTATGCTCCAGGTTCCCAGTTTTGTGAGTTGTCACCCATACTGGAGTAGAATTTGGCTATATAGACATCTTAAGAGTCATTTCTGCTCCTGCAAGGAACCCTTTTCCTTTAAGTAGCCCCAATAAACCTCAGTGATTCACCAAGTTGTAGTTTGGTGTATCTGTACTTTGGTCTGTTTTAGGTTCCCTTTCTGGAGTGAGTACATGTGTATTGTACATCCCTGGAAGTTTTGTCACAAAAAGAACATGACAACCAAAGATGAGTTGGAGAGAACTGAGTACATGGTCCCGACTACAAATAGTGTAACTGGCCCCTATCATCTCATTGGGAGTGACATTATTAAAAGTGGTCATGGCGTCCCTTCACAGCAAAAAAAACCCTAACACAGAAGTTGGGGTATTGCTGTGATAGGCCTGATCATGTATTTGGAGGAGTCTGGACTTTGGTACTTGGGATTTAGAAAGCAGTGGAATGCTTTAAGCGCTGCTTAGTGAGCCATACTAGCATGGAAGACAGAGGTGCTAAGAGTTATTTGAACTGTTGGGAGTTTCGTATGTTGCCTAGAGATCGTTCTTGTGATATTTTGGTGGGGGAAAAAGTGGCTACCTTTTGCCCTTGTCCAAAGAGTCTGCCTGAGGCTAGACTGAAGAGTTCTGGATTAATTCCGTTGGTAGAAGAAATCTCAAAACAGTCTAGTATAGACTCTGTCATATGGATATTAGTGCTAACTCTAATGAAGATTTGTAATGAAAAGGGGAAAGCTGAATAGGTTAAATAACAAAATGTAAATTTAAAGGCAAAAAAAAAATACCAGGAAGTGGAATGAAGCTAAGTCCTATGTTCAAGGAGATAAACAGATTAAAAAATGAAATAAAGTAAGTGGTGACCTCAGGGCAAGCACCCACCCAACTAAGTTTCCAACTTGTGGAAGGAAAGAAACTAAAGAAAAAGAGCTGGTATACAGGCTGCACACATTAATCCCAGCACTCAGAAGGCGGAGAGGCTGGTAATCTCTGTTCCAGGACAGGCAAGGTTAGGCAGTAAAGAAAACTATGGAAAACAGAAAACTGGTGAAGATGTAATTGAAAGATTGCTGAGTCTGAGGCCAGCTTGGTCTAGAGATCCATTTTCAGGAGAGTCAAGCTTTGATATTGAAGGACAGAATGTTGGTGATGATGTAATTCAATGAGTAAGCAGTACGCAGCAGAACTTGACAGCTCTGGCCAAATGGTTCTAGCTTTAGAGTTAAACACAGAAGAAACGGGTTATGAAAGGGGGGTCTCTGAATGTAGACCTAGCAGATAGGCCATTACATCAAGCTGTGAAATTGGCACCCAAGATATTAGATGACAGAGGGATACATGTCAAGGAGATCTGCTAAGAGGGAATGGACCACAGCCCAAGAGAAAGAAGTACGTTGTAGGCCCAAAAAAAAAAAAAAAAAAAATACTGACGGGAGTTAAGAGACCTGAATTTGAGGAGCATTTTAATGTGAGACATGGAGACACACAGTTTGAAGTTTGCCCAGTTGGTCTTCAGTCTTGCGTCAGTCCAGTGTTTTCTCCTTGCTAGGCTCCCTTCCATGTTCTGGAGTGAGAATGAATACCCTGTGCCATTACAGGTTGAAAGTATGTGATCTGCTTTATTTTGATTTTTATAGGTGATGATAGTTAAGAGAATGCATGAATCTCAGAAGTAACTTTGAACTTTGGACTTTTAAGTACTGTTGAGACTGTGACAGACTACGGAGACTTTTGAAGTTTAATTAAATGCATTTTGCATTATGATACTGTCACAAGTTTATGTAGGTCAGGGAGTGGAATGTGGTAGTTTGAATGTAATTGGTCCCATAATCTCATGAGTGGCACTATTAGGAAGTGTGGCTTTGTTGAGGTGGGTATGGCCTTGTTGGAAGAAGTGTGTCACTGTAGGGGCGGGTGGTTTCCTATGTCCTGGATATGGCTCAGTGTATCAGTCAACTTCCTGTTGCCTGCAAGATGTAGCACTCTCAGCTCCAGCACCAAAGCTGCCTGCGTACAACCATGCTACCCATCATGATAATGGACTGAAGCTGTGAGCTGAAAGCAAGCCACCCCAATTAAATGTTCCCTTTATAAGGGCTGCCATGGTCATGGTGTCTCTTCACAGCAATAAAAATCCTAATGAGGACAGAGATCAAGGCATGCAGCCGAGGCTGAGAAGCCTGAGAGAGAGACCATCAGCAAAGGAAACTCCAATAGTCATCCTTTCCTTTAAGCATGTGTTAGTGTGCTTGTGTGCTATGGTTGTGCAAGAGGTTGCATGGTTTTTGCTATGGGTAATGAGACATAAAACTAAGCTGAGCCATTAGGAATGTCTGTGGAGAAATACCAGGATGACAGTCTTTCTTTATGGTATGGGGTGGCATGCTTGTTTGATGAGTGGGGTCCACCATGGGGATATGGAGATGCTCTAAAACCAGTTAAAAAGTTGCAACAGGAGCCAGGTGGTGATGGTGCACACCTTTAATCCCACACCTGGGAAACAGAGGCAGGCAGAGCTTTGTGAGTTTGAGGCCAGCCTGGTCTAGAGTGAGTTCCAATGCAGCAAGGGCTACACAGAGAAATCCTTTCTCAAAAAACTTTAAAAAGTTGTAACAGGTTCTCAACTTGTGAGGTGCTACCCCTTTGGTGTCATATATCAGATCTCCTGCATATCAGATATTTATATTATGATTCATAACTAACAAAATTACAGTTATGAAATAGCAACAAAGTGATTTTAAAGTTGGGGTCACCATGCAATATGAGGAACTGTAGTAAGGGGCCACAGCATTAGGAATCTTGAGAAGCACTGGGTTAGAGGAAATATTTGCAGTCTTTAAGATTAGCACACAAGGGTCAAGATTGTCAGCAAGCAGCAGCAGAGGTTTCCTGGCCACACCTGAAGATGGTGGCCAAGCAAGAATGTGGATGTGCAAAGAACAATTACAACAAGAAAGAGAGATGTGGCTAGCATCCTCTGTGTTTGCCTCTAATTTGGCTAAGAAATCAAACAAGAGGATGGGACTGAGGTGCTGGCTTGCCATTTTGTAAGGTTTGGGGTGAGAACGAAGAGAAAGAACAAGTTAGATCTGTACTCAAAAGCCTTTCCTCAGATCCAAGACCTTGGAACCCATGGAAGAGCCAAAGTGAAAAGAAATCATGGTAAAAGCAACAGAATATCCCCCCCCCCCCCGCAAGCCAAACCTTCAAAACCTCAAAAAAGGAAAATCCATGATCCAGAATATGGTCCAAGGCAAGAAACTAGGATGATCAGAAAATACTCAGTGCCTGAACTGCTGGAATTAAGACTTTTAAACAAGCAACGAAAGAGCTTGCCAGAGCCTGGATTGTGAGGCTGTGGGTCACAGGAGTGGATGTGTTCAGTCTGAGACAGGAACACTGAGTGATATAACTTCCCATCCCTCCTTAAAGCCAAGGCTGCATGACCTGAGACAGTGTGAGGGACGTCAGCCCCTAGAGAACTTACGGAGCCATTAGGAACTTAGTTATCTTCACCTAAAGTCCCCATAAATATCAGGGGCTGGAAGACCACAGAAGGAGAGGCAGATGCTATCAAGGGCACTAGGAATAAGGAGCTGTGTTTGAACCCCAGTTCACTGGGCCAGACAGAACCATGTTCACAGAGGAGTTAATGACCTTGAGGCCCGTGTTGCACTTTAGTGGCTCTGCTTGAGCCCTTTGGCGGGACAAGATCTTTCTACAGTGGGAAGAGCTTTGACGGATCTCAGTGACTTAGACCAGCATATAAAGTGCCTCTGTGAAGTGAGAGCGCAACTAAGAGGAGATGGGGGGGAGGGGACAGAGGGAGAGGTGATCTGGGTCACTGGAAGACCACTGTGACAAGACTTGAGTGGAGCTGGAGTTCCTAGGGGACAAGTGATAGAAGCCAAACTGTGCTCAGGGGTTTCTGGATGGCTGCAGAGCCTGAGGAGCAAGCAGTTCACAGAAGACACCGTGCAGAGCAGTAAGGTGAAGACCATCAGTCCTGTCCCAGGGGTGGGTAATTACCCCATCAGACTAAGGAGGGCACATTTCCCTCAAGCAAAAGGTTGTGCTAGAGGTGGAGATTGTTTGCCCAACCAGGAACTCCCCCAGCAACCAGATATGGTGGATGGAGTGGCAACAGCTACAGTTACAGCCACTGTGCCAACCCAGGGCCATTCTGACCCAGGGAGCCCATAGGTACAGCAGGGGAAAGTAGGGTCCCATTCACTTTTAGCCATGCGAGGGTTTGAGCAGATTAAGTCAGGCCCACTGAGCTCATCATGTTTGGAGAAATGCAGGTAGGCTGCATGGAAGAACTCCAAAATATGGAAATGCAATGGTTCAGAGAAAATGGAGCGAATTAAGTTAGTGCCTCAATCATGCTTTTTACCCAACCTACATCTGTGGAGGAAGCGTCTGCTGGAACCTTTCTGTGCTGCATCGCACTGTTTGTGTTTGACCTTAGTGTCTTCTTAGCTGTGAATTTCTGGACCACCTGACACTTCTGATAGCAGATGACAACAGACTTTCAGGGTGCTTCACCAGGGTTGTCTGTGTACTCTCCTCTGCTATAGGCTGGTGGTTTGTGATGTTGCCTTGCCCTGCCAATCCTCTGAAAAATGTTTCATTACACAGATGACATAATGCTAGCTTCTGAGTGTTTTGCAGATTAAGAAATGCACCTAAGTGACATACAAGGGCCAGGCACATCTATAGCAATGAGGATGGGAGACCAATCCACAGGCACAAGGGCCAGGCACAGCTGTAAAATTCTTGGGAGTATTATGGTCTAGTCAGGTAGACTAGATAGCTGACAATGTTACTGTCGAAATCCTACAACAGACTGTGCCTATAAATGTAAAAGAGGTACAGGCACGGGGTGGGGGCTCTTTGGATATTGGATTTTTATGTCCCCTCTTGCCCATTACTTGATAATGAAAGAAGTTATATGGGATTGGCATAGAAAGGCTCAGGTGGCTTTTGCAAGGGGTAAGATCTTTGAGGGACAGGTTCAATAGCTATGTGTCCACTAACCCAGTGTCCCTTCCTGTTAGAAATCACCAGGAGTTCAGAAGGCTGGAGTTCAGAAGGCTATATAGTTGGGGGCTATGGCAAAAGCAACCCAAGCAAACAGTTCCAATAGGGCTTTGGTCTCAGTCATGGGAAGGAACAGAAGCTCAGTGCACAACACCAGAAGAGCAACTATGAGGGTATATAAAGTATTGTACCAGGCAGATCTATTACTGGTTCAATTCAGTGACTTAAAAACAGCCTGCCCCATAAAGGGCTAGAGTAAAGACCTCCTGGCCAAACCCCTTTCTGGTGTGGCACAGAATAAAACTTCACAAAGGTAGCAAGCACACTTAAAACAGTGAGGTGTGGTGTATCCAAGCCCCATCACCAGTGCCATGCAGGCTGTTCTAAGACTAGTGTGCCTTGAGTCACTGAGTATCCCCAAGTAACTAAACCAACAGCTAAAAAGTTTAAATACAAATGGTACCCTATGAATAGGAAATGGCAGGCCCAGAAGTCATAAGGTTATTGACTGAAAATCTCAGTGCCAGGGATGGAGCACCACCTTTTGAGCTGTTGGCCAGGAAAGCCCATGAGGTCCTACAAATCCTAAAACCTATTGCTACTGCAGCTGGTTATATGACCCTATTGCTGAAGACCACGCATGTGCATGCTTTGACTATGTATACAGGACATAGAAACGGTAAGATGGGGTTGACTGGAACCCCACCCTACTGGACGGGTTTCACAGTGCCTGTCAGAAGGGACCATGCAGGCTGCTGGTGGTGAACTGTCAGCAACATTCCTGCTTGACTACACCAAGATACTAAACAGGATGTTCTGTGTATGCAATAGGGTCCCGACTATCATAGCTAAGAAACAGTTTCCCAAACTAAATTCAAGGCCTATGCCACAAAAGGGAGTTCATGTCTGGAATATAGGCTTCATCAGAACCTATAAACACATAAGAAAAATTATTTGAGGAAAAAACTACATTCTTTTTATTTTCCTGTGGAAGCCCTATGTGGCCCAGACTGGCCTCAAACTCAAACCACCTTCCCCTTAGCAGTACTCCAATTTTAGGCATAAAGCACCATGCCCCATACAGTCCATTCTTGATTAAGAAATCTGCCCATATAAGACAAAAACTTATCCAGAGTCATCAGTATCACTCCAGCTGCATTTCCTCGTCAGTGTTTGCGATCCCTGTGATGTGGAACCTACCGCGACCTCATTCGTGTCTCCGTGCTCAAAGTACTCCTGTATGATCGGTGTCAGCGTCTTCTCAAACGCAGTCTCATCCAGAGGCAGAACCACAGTTTCGTAAACACAGTTCTCCTGGAGAAGGGGGATTATAAGTTAAATATTCAGGTAAGTAGACACTATCATTTCAGCCAGTTAGTGATCACAGGTGGACAGGACAAACCAGCTTCCTGTCCTAATCACTTACAGTCCGCATGCCGCTGCTTTCACAAAAGTTCAGTAAGCTGTTCTTACAAGTGAAAAGCCAAGAAACCTTACCGACGTTGAGTATGAAAGTAACTGACGCCTACCTGGTCATCATCGTAGTTTGGGTCTCTCACATCCACCTCCTCCACATCATACACCTGACCAGGTGTGCCCCAGACACCCTTGCCTCCTGCACCACCTGCAAGTTGTTGATAGTTTACACATGTTAACTGAAACCTGAAATAACTTCAATGTGAGAATTCTTATGCTAAGCATTTTCCAGTTAAGAGCTACACTGGAAACTCCTATTTAGACCACTTTTTCAACAGCAGGTTATCTATCATCTATTTCCAAAAGCATCAAGTTGAAATAACTTGGTTAGAAACTACCAAGGCAGATTCTTTAAAATATTTTTTTAGATTTGAAAGAAACAGCAATGCCTCAGACCTCACACAAACTGACACCGTAAGGAAGCTCTAAGTGCTGGCATTCCTTAGAACCAGAAAGAGCAATAAAACCTCAACCTATGATTCCACAAAGAACCATAATGACCACCATCAAATGCTTTAAGTCTAACACTCTTCCACATAAGTACACAAACTATACTTCGAATTAACAGTATGTTAACAAATAATTGCTATTTAAAAATTAACAACACTGACAACTATTTCTTTTCTGTATACAAACCAAAGAGTAAACTTCAACTCTCCAAGATAAGATGCTTTTCCATATCAAATGTGACAATTGTATAAGGCCAAATTTGTCTAAAATATACTTTTTAAGTTTTCACTCTGTACTCGGAATATAATCCTTGGAATATAGCAGACCAGAATCAGATAACTATCATTCTGATACAAATGATTGTGAAACTATTCACAAAAGTAATTTCTGAAAGACTACTATAGTATATGTTGTATAGTCCACATAGTTCTATATTTATCTTCCTCTCTTCCCCTTAACAAAAGTTTCACATAATCATCTTTTTGTCTTGACGTTAGTTCTAGGTTCACTAATAGAAGACGCTGAAATCCAATCTCCGTGTTTCACACCCCCCACACTTTACAAGCATGTTCATTGCCAGACCCATTTAAATTATCAGGGTCTTAATTAAGTGTATAAATTGAAGCTCACATCATTCAAAATTCAGTCCAATATCCAAATTCCACCAAAATCCTACTACAGACAGATGCTGGCAGACCCTCATCCAACAAATGTTAAACATCTATCAGTGTTCTTGGCACTGGATACACCAGTGAAATACATCAATCCACTCCACCATTCAAACAGCAAAGCTAAAGAGAACTCAGACCCAGAACCACAAATATGCTACGAAATGTATTATAGTTACTACTTTTAATAATAAACCAAAATTAGATTCAATTGATAAGTTATGATTAACCTGACTATTTTCATAGGGTGTATAAAATTCCTAACTAAAAGCATTAATGTGTACTATATTTTGCTAGGGGGAAAAGCTCTATATCAAAAAAAAAAAAAAGAAAGAAAAGGACTCAACCTTAAGAAAAAGTAATTCCGGGCCTTCAGCTCCACTACAAACACATAAGCAACCTGTAAACCTTACAACTGTCTGTATTTCAGTCCTCTTTAGCACAAGGAACTCCTAGCACAGGAACTGGGTTTTTTCCACATTGTTTCTGTGCACAGCACACACTAACCTTTCTTTGGCAGCCCCCTTCCTTTCCCAGATCTGGACCGCCTATCTAGCAACCTTCCTTTTGGACTGGTGGGCACAGTTACTCCGCTTCTGATTGCTTCACTTCCGTTATCACTGACTGAATCGCCTCTGCCAGAGTCCCGCGAGGAGTTTTTCCGTAGCCGTCGTTTTGCCTTAGCATTAATTCTAGCTTCGTTAATAGAAGATGCGGAAATCCAATTTCCATTTATTTCATTCTTTATTTCCTCAGTGCCAGCATTTTCTTCATCACCAGAAAAGAGAGAGTCGCTTAAATTATCAGGATCTTAAAAGAGAAAACAAAGACAGCAAACTAAGTATGTCCAACATCCACTGTTAGTCAGGTACAATTTAATCTGATTACTACCCATGAAATTAACATTCTGTAGTTAGTAGTAGTCATATATTAGCAATTTCACATGGCTTAATCTAATAAAGGACAAATATGATTCTTTTCCCATTACCAAGGAAACACAGGAAATGACTAAATTTTAATTAATAAGGTTTTCTGAAAAGAAGGAACCTCACATCTGAATAATAAAATCTATGTTAGTAAAGATCATAAACTGTAGAACCAAGAGCATGAAAATAGAGTAAAACAAAGAATATTGAGACAGTGGAGATAAACTACACAAAATATCTATTACACTTGTTAGGCTCTCTACCGGTCACTCTAAGTTCAGCAATTTATACAAATGAGGAAACCAAGGTTTAGAATGCATTTAAAATCACCACCCAAACATTCCCTGTTCAGTTACAAATACTTAAAAACATTAATAACTCCCAAAAAAAGTAATATATACCTGACAAGTATGTAATCCCACTTAATTGTTGAACTGACAGCCTTCAACATAACAACAGAATGAATATTATTAAATCATCATCTCCAACTCTTACTTCCCCAAATTTCTATCTACGAAAAGTTCTCAGCCTATACAAGTTGGAAAATTAGCAACTAAAATCATCCCTACTGTTCCCTTTCTTGGAAGTTATTTAATTACTAATCTTCGATCTGAAAGGTGACTGAATTCATTCTGCTACAGCAGCTCTGTTCACAAAGGATAACTCGGTCAGAGCCACAGCACCCAAACTGTCAGGTGCCTGACCATAATTATGATGTGTAAAATAGATATGTATGACTTTAATGTGTTTGTGATAGTTTAAAAATCAGTGAATCAATCTCTAAAAACTCTATTTGTATTTAATCCTTTTAATTCTTAACAAAAAAAAGTACAGCTGTTAGTAAGAAAATGCTATGTCTCAGCTTCTGCAGGACATTCTCTGAACAGACCGCTTTTCTAAAGCAGGCCCTTATTGAAACGCGATCTCTAATGAAGTGTGAAGCCTTCACTACGCATCATCACGTTAATGGACACGCTGCTGGAACTGCACCATATTCACGGCTGACCAACTCAGCTATGATATCTTTTTTCCTTTCAAAACTCTTCCCTAGGCTTTGCTCTTTTTGGAGAGCTAGGGTATCTTTAGCATGGATAAGGACGTACTTTAAAGTCTTACTATCATTTTTTTCACATAAACTATGGAATAGTTCCAAGTCTGCTCAGACAGGGTTCGGAGTATTACTCACCAGCAGGGTTTATATTCAGGATCTGCTCATTTTCTACATCCATTTTTCCTTAATTTCACTTGCACTGATTATACAAAAATTATGAAATGGAAGTCCTCCTTTAAAATCTATGTTTAAAAAGGAAAAGAAAAAGTTTCACCATCTTCTAATCTGACATAATAAAGGTAAATTCAACTTACCTGAATACAATGAAGGAAAAAAATGCCATAAGGTTGCTCTACTTTCGCTGGGCAGTGGTGGCACACGCTTTAATCCCAGCACTTGGGAGGCAGAGGCAGGTGGATCTCTGTGAGTTCGAGGCCACCCTGCTCTACAAGAGCTAGTTCCAGGACAGGTACCAAAAACTACAGAGAAACTCTGTCTCAAAAATCAAAAAAAAGAAGTTGCTTTACTTTAAAATATAATCTAATTAACACTTAGTACCAAATTTCTCCACAAGCTTTTCTGAGACAGAAAAAAAGAGAAAAACCTGAGATTAAAACACATCAGATTTCAGTATGTGTCAATGAGTCCCTTAAACTGGAGTTAAAAACTATTACAACACATGCTTCTTTCCATTAAAGAAATACATACACACCAAATCTCTTAAGACACACACACACACACACACACACGCACACACACACGCACACCCTGTATGCTGTGCCAATGCTGTGCCACAGGTGGCCACAAGAGGGCACAAGAGGGCACTAGATCCTCCAGAGCTGGACATTCAGGGAGCTGTGAGCTGACTGATGTGGGTGCTGGGAACTGGACTTGGGTCCTTTGGAAGAACACTATTTACTCTTAACCCATGTTCCATCTCTCCAGCCCACATTTAATATACAGTCTTAAAATTAATCATACATTTACATATAGGAACATTAGTATTGGAATAGTTCTCTAACAATAACTTAAATTTATTCTAAAATATAAACAACAGTTGTGGCTAGTCAAGAACATCGCATCGCACGTGTTGGTCTTTCACACCATAAACTATCTGAAAGCAGAAGCAGCTGCCATTTCACGTGTCGCTTTATGAGGCACTGAGACAGGGAGACATTTAAGTAACCTTTTCTATTATGACATTTATTTGTAATTTATTTTTAGTGTATCGTTTTTACAATCTAAAACTTTCATTTAAAAAGAAAAGCCTGCTTTAGTAACAAAAGCCAGACATGGTAAAACAAATCCACAGCACAGCATCCTGGAAGCACGAGCCAGGAGAGTCGGGAGGATAAAGCCTACACAGGAAACTGTTTTAGGGGAGGTGGTAGCGTGTGCATGAGCCCTCCAAGTTTATGCTTTTTCTCCAAAACATGTATTAACTTGTGACACAAAAATAACACCTTATGCTGAAGTGATGCCGTAATTGTTAGGCTACACCAAGGCTAACCATACCGCTAAAAAACACAACACAGTGAAAATATCATCCTCTAATTCTATTCAGAATAAACTGACAAGTGCATCGAAGGGATCACTTCCCCAATACCTTAATTTCAAACATCTTAGGAATTTAGATAAAATGAATTTTAAAATGGATATGTGGAGATTCATATAGCTATAGGACAAATATAGTCTGGAAATGCAAACATTTAGTACTTTCCACGGCTGAAAACGCCGTCTTCCACTTCCTCTCAGGGCACGAATGGCATGTTATACGAAATCTGTCATGCATGGTGTGGTTTCATTTAAAGCTACACTGCGAAGTTTCTTTTCATTCTTTACACAAGGACAACCTTTGAGAAAATGCCTTCTGCAGCATCCACCCAGTAAAGGACTAAGCTTGTGAGTGTTGCCTATCGAACCCTATCTAATTCAAAATGAGTTCTATGTGCATTACTTCATGCACTTCGTGTGTTCACTCTGCAGGAAGAGCAGGGGATCTGTGCAAGGAGAAAGCAGCACAGCGCAGGCAGCACTAGCAGAATCCGGACCAGTGACTGCAGTACAAGAACTCACCATGCCCTACAGGAAAGGTCCGGGTTAACAACAACAAAAAAAGTTTATGACAGCCTAGACTTGCTACACCAACTGCTTTCGAAACACTGAAAATAATTAATCTATGATACAGAAAACAGCTATGGAAATACCTATCACAAATAATAAACTGTTTATTAATTATAACCAAAAAAAATTTCCTTCTCCAGATCAGGATCCCAGCCACAACCCATAGCAGCACCGCTGTTCTGAAGGGCAGTATGTTCCAATATCTTCAGATTGGAAGGGTTTTTTTTTTCAACTTAATCCTTAAAATGCTTACCTCAAACTTTAAAAAAAAAAAAAAAAAAAAACTAAACTCCACTTGCTCCACACTAACATACAGAATCATTTCCCATGAGGAAAACAAGCATGCATGCAGTTAGAAAAATTAAGGCTGAAATTAACTGTTCTCCAGTGTGTTCCCTAAATAACCCATAAATTATTCTGGCAGTTTTGGAAATGAAGTTTAAACTGTACGTTAACTAGAAAATTACTTTAATTCTTCTCTGAGATACAATCACCGAATTAGCAACTTACAATCACCTAAAAGCACTCTACCACAGTACTGCAAAAGCAATTGCTATAGAAAATAGCAGCGTACATTCATTTTTGTAGTCCTAACAAGTATTTTTCTCTTAACATTACCACACTAGACAAACTAACCGAATCACAATTCAAAGATGCCGCCAGATGTATGTATAACTCAGTAGCAAGCACTTTATGGGTTTAAGTGACAATATGGATAGATATGCTAAAACCTCTTTTTTTTTTTTTTAAGGAATGCGGGCTTTCCCAAAGCCTCAGATTCTTAAGCCATGGAGAATGTCACAACTGTGAATATACCAATATGTTTTCAAAGCACCTGTAGGCCTCACACCCACCACTCGCCCAGGCCCATAGCTGCATTTGAATCCTAAGGTGACGACAGTGGCTGGCTACCCAGCCCGCTCCCAGGAGGGCGTGGGGGAAGATTTGGGAGGACCTACGTCTGCTGTTTTGAGGTTCGAGGGAACCCTCCTTGTACATTACAGCACTGGACAGACAGAGGCAGCGGACGCAGCATGCCTTCACAGAAAGGGGGCTCTCTTCTCGGCTTTGTTTTCTCTAGCTTGTAATCTTTTTCGTTTTTAGGGACCCTGTGCCGGATAGCCGACGAGGAGGGGTTGGCGCAGGGCCCGGCGGGCGGCTGTCCGCGTCCCGAGCCCGCACGCAGGACCCCCACCCTCCGGCAGCACCGGGCAGGGCAGGCCGCGGCGGCCAGGCCCGGGAGGAGGCCTCCGAGCCCCCAGCCGACCTCAGTCCGGTCCACACACACCTCCCCTACCCGTCCCGTCGCCCGCGTCCAACTGCAGCGGGACGGGCACCTGATGGAGGCTGCTCTCGGCCGCGAGCGCCCGCGCGGTCGCCCAGCCGCCGGGGAAGGCAGGGGCCGCCGAAGAGGGGGCGGGCCCCGCGCTGAAGCCTCGGAGACCGAACCCCGGGCGTTGGGCGAGCGCGCCCGGGCCTGAGGGCTTCGTGGCGGCTGCAGACCCGGGCCCGTCGCCCCCGACTGCCGCGGCGAGGCCTCCACGCCCCCTCCCCCTCCCAACGTGCGGCGGCCTCGTCCACAGACCGAGGGCGAGCGGGAGGAGGACGCCGCCGGCAGCCCGCGCGTGCGAGCCGCGCCCACCGTACTGACCTCCTCCGGCCGCCGCCGCCGCCGCCGCCGCCGCCGCCGCCACCGCTCGCCCGGGTCTCCGACCCACCGGACTCCGCTCCTCAGCCTCCGCCGCAGCCGCCTCGGAGCGCCTCTGGCCCCTCTCGCTCTGTTTGTTTTTGTTTCGTTCTACCCAGTAACACGGGGGCGACAGCGTGGCGTCTATTGGCCGAGACAAGGGGGTCCGGGAGCCAATCGTGGCGGCGAAGCTGCGGCCGAGGCGGAGACGGAGGGAAGTGAAACGTGGAAAGTTGGGGCGGGGCGCTGGGGGGAGGGGGCGGGGCACCGACGGTCGGCGCATGCGCCCCGGGCTCGGGAGCCGCTCAGCGGTGAGGTGGGGGGGGGGCGCTGAGGCCGGAATTGGGGATGGGGTGCGGCTCGGTGACCCGGCCGACTCGGACCCTCAGTTCCTGGTCGCGCAGGAAAGCCAGCCTCTACTTCTGTCACCGGCCCTCGCTCCACGCGTGGCCTACTGTACGTCCACGTGCTCAGAAGTTTTCTCATTGCAAAGGCCTAAGCCCTTTGAGATAAAAATCGTTCCCATTCCCTTTGCTATCCAGCCAGCCACTGTGGTTCTTGCATTCTGGATTTCAAGGCTGGGTTTCTCAACCGTGGCTACAGTTTCCATATGAAACGGCCTTCTACAGCTGTCTTGTGTGACTTTTCTTTCTGGCTGCCATCTCTATGGCTCTCATTTTGTCTGGGTGGTTATATCCTGAGACTGGGCAGTATCTTAGGCTCTCCCTGTGACCTTGTAAAGGACTGACCTGCTTTTCTCTGGCCACGTTTACCTATAGTCTGAATGGCAATAACAGAATTAGTCTTTTCAGAACTGAACTGTCTCCTTGCTCAGTAGCAACCACCATCCCCTAAATTAGGCCTTACTGCCCAGTCTCTGGCCTGGTGTTATATAATGCTAACACACACATACACACACACACTCCTTCACATGCATCCCACTGCCTCCCTGGGGTATCTGCTTCCCAGCAGACATCCTACAACCCACAAGGTGACCTACAGGATTTGAGGCCATATCTCCCACACCCTGCCTAGGCCATGGATACGCCACTTGGACAGCTTGCGGTCCACAACCTTGTGTCTTGCTAGGTCTTTATCATATCATCTTTAAATACCTGGTACATCCTATCCACATCTCTTGACCTCCCTCAGTCTTTATCAAGTCTCATGCCGATATGATTCATTTTCTGAAACCCAATTCCTCGGAGAGAGTACTGGCCTGTTGTACCTCTGGAGTCACAGGCCGCCTTCTACCTGGCATTATTTTATCTGAGTCCCAGTCCAGGCTTGTCTCCCTAAGAACATGGCCTTTGTATTGTATGCTTAAGAAGCCACTTTGTAGATTTATTAACCCATGCAATAAATATGCCTTATATGAGTTCACAGAGAATCCCAGCCGTTGGTGGTGATCACCAGCTCTTGGTCAGGGACTCCTTCACATGGCCAGCATTTGAATTAGCCTCATGAGTCATGGTCATTATTATAATCAGAGCTTCCTAGCCACTCAGTTTTGTGGCTTTTTAAACTATCTGCAGCTGTCTCCTTTCTCTCCCCTAGCCTGTGGCTGCTGCCTTCTTTTTTCCCCATCCCTCTCTTGACTTTAGTTCTTGACTCTTCCATTCCCCCAGTTTGCCAGCAGCTGCAGACCCCTGCTAAGTTCTTCCCTTCCCACACTGTGTAACACACAGGACAGCCAGGCTCGATAGGGCAGAGAGCCCAAGACCTCTGAAATAAGAACACAATATAATCCCCTGTTTTAAAAGCGCACCTTAGACCTCTCAGTGTTTGTTAGCAAATCTCCCAGCAGAGGGATCTAATAGAGACTAAAATATAAAGCAGTGTCTGTCAGCAAATCTGCCCTGGCAAAGGGGCCTAATGGAGCATGAAACACTCACATCATCGTCCCAGGATCTGAAGTCCCTAAATGCACCTTAGTATGAGGTTGACCAGTGTGGCCAAGGTAGGAACAATGTTCTAGTTCTAGGTCCCCTACTAGCAAAAACAACTCCACTTCTTTCTCAAGACTTCTATTTCTTTACCAGTAAAATTCAGAAGGTATTTCCAGAAGCATATGAATTTTTGCAATATTTTAATAGGTATCCTGAAAAAAAAAGTTCTGGAGAAACTTTCATAGCCACATCTTGGAAAGAACTCTTAACTTTTTTTTCAAAAAGAAAATATTAAACTTTCCTTTACTGCTGACTCTAAGCATTTTTGGTAGGCAGTCCAAGAAACTTGACATCTATGTATTTGATGCTTCAAGATATCCCAGAATACGTTGCAAAAACCAAGTTGTGAATATAGATGATGGTCACTGTCACCAACATTGCTTCCCTGATCAACTGTGCCTTTATAGCTAAAATTTTTAAAAGAATAAAAATCAAAGAATGAACTAGAAATAGAAAAACAACCGGGTGTCAAGAATTCTTGCCTAGCAATCCAATCTATGCGTACCTATTGGCCAGATAATCTTGGAAAGCAACGAGTTAATCCATCTGTGTTCTTGGCAAAAAAAAGTATAGTAGGCCAACTAAGGCCTGAAGCCTAGCACTCCCCAGCTTCCGGGCGACTGTGTGGCCTTTCCTCTCTCATTATAAACTCTCATGGACTTTTTGTTACAAAAAGCTCTTGGCCTACAGCTCCACGTTAACTTTGTGTTAGAGATGAGGTTCCCTTCCTCTTCACTCATTCATGCCAGAGCAAAGGAACCATAGCTTCCATTTCCTTTCATAACAACTCCTGCCAGGAAAGAAAAGACCAGCAATAATCTAGGACAAGCCACCTGCTCGGAAGTGACAGCAGAATCCTGGCTGTACGGTCAGATGGGCATTATATACCTCTGTTATATATCTCTGTCGGCCTCAGGCTCGGGCCCTGTTAAGATGCGCAGAGAAGGTGTATTTGGCTTGATGGGGTAATTAGTAGAGTGTCCAAGTTTTGACTTTGTTCCTAACGGCACTGCTTTGGGCATCTCACCTTCTCTTCCCCAGAGCAATCAAATGCTCCAGTCTTCTGGACTGTGAGAGAAGGAATGATCAAATCCAAGAGGTCTCGATTCATTCATGTACTCACGCCTTGAGATGCTATGCAGAAACCTTGGGCCGCACCACGGGAGTCCTGGAAGTAACAAGCAAGAGGGGACAGAATTTTCCTCTAATGTCTGAAAGGATTCAGTGAGGTGGAGGTAAAGTAATTGTGACACTCAATATAGGAGCTGACTGTCTCCAGAGGCAAGGCTTTGGTAATACAACTTCCCTCCATCCCAAAGGCAAGAGTGATGGCCGAAGTCAGGAATAGTGGCAATAGCCCTAATCCCAGCAGTTAGCAGAGAGGCTAGAAGACTGCCCCATGAGTCCAAGGGCAGCCTGGGAACCGCACGAAGCCATCCCATAAACAGGCAAAGAAGAGAGTGATGCCAAGTTAGGCTTGGCATGCTAATGAGATCACATGAGTAAATGCCTAGAAATACACAGGTGAAAGGCAAAACTAAACTTCTGCAGGAGGTTGCGGAGCTCTTCAGAGCCCTTCATGTTTTTGACAAAGCCACATTTGTGATCTGAGGGCTCTGATTCCCAGCAGCCCTGTGTAAGTCCTTGCGGGGAGCTGAGAAGCAGCCATCCTTCTGGGGAGTGAGTAGATCCTGCCCACTTCCTTCCAGAGACCTTGCAGGTGAGATTGTCATTTGCATAGGCTTCACAGCCTGCACTGAGCAGTCTTGGTCTCCTTTTGTGGAAGCCAAGACATTAAGAATTTCAACAAGAGGCCAGGTCTCCTTTAGCACAAATGACAAAAGACTTGAAACACGGCCTGAAGAGGAAGCTGCAAAAAGAGCCGTAGTGATAACTGCTGATGCGTGCACTGTTTTAAGGTTTCCTGAGAACTCTTGTGTACACTTTTCCCACCTCCCAGTGGTGTGGATAAGACTCTGTGCTTCAGAGGCGAGAGAAATGAAGCTTAAACAGGTCACCAGTAATCATGTGACTTTTATGTTAAAAGCATATTTGGGAAAGCCTTTCATTTGATAAGTAGAGAAACAGATCCAGAGAAACTGAGTCGGTTGTTCGACCCTCATAACTAGTTAGAATCCAGGCCAGAAGAGAAAATAAGGTTTCAGCACACAGGTCGAGGAGGCATTGTATAGACAAGGGGACTCCGGATGTCTGGAAGCCAGACTGGACTAGATGCTTTCTGCAGCTCAGTCCTGCCTGAGTCTTTTCAGTGAGAGTCAGATCCCTGGTCCCCAGCTTCTTCTGCTATCAGCTGACTCCATTTCATTTTAATGCCCTGGACATGGAAATGCAAGGTGGAATAGTGTAGGGGGTACGCACAAGGTTAAGAATGCTTCATCGACATTTTCAAGAATCTCATCCCTGGGATGCAGAGTGTGGTATGATCAGAAGCACAGCACAAGTTTGCTGTGCACAAGTAGATGCAGCATCTTAGCACATATAGACCAAGCTGGGTGACGAGGATGCTTCTACTGTACCAGGTCAAACCCGAGAGACTTTTGTGAGACTCGTCTTTTGTGGGACTTATTTACCAAGCCAGTCCTCCCCCATTAACAAGTTAGAAAGAAGCTCAGCTGGGGATGAGGAACCCCAGAAAACACATCTCCCACACCTACCCTGACTCCCAAACCAGTGAAGCTCCAGCACCTGGGCCTTTCGCACTAATGGGTCTTGGAGCCCCATGCTCTCCTGAGCTGACTAACCCTGCTCCACCTACACTTACTTAGGCAGTTGGTGTTGGGCTCCTCTCATGGCATCTCTGGGGCTTTATTTGCACTCTTCTGCAACACTGGGTTCTTGGGTTCTCAGAATTAACCCCCTCTTCTCTCCGTTGACTGAGCACACGTAGTTGCCACTATGCCCTCCTCCTCTCTGTGTCCACACGGCTTCTGCCTGCCTCCCAAACCCAACTATGAGGCGAGCAGTGTCAAGGGAAGCTGGGATCGAATCAGAGGCTTTTTCTCCTGATAGGATGACCTGCAGCTGTGACTAAAAGAGCCAACTCGACAAGGAAAACAGAGAAGGCTGCAGAGGATGCTGGGTAGGCTCCAGGAGGGGGGGGGCGGGGGGCACACCAAAGCAATTCAAGTTAATTAACATA